CAGCCCGCATGTCTATTTCAGCCAACGACCGTACCGTGCCATCTCGTACGACCACGTCTACCTCTGAAGTGGCTGCAGCCAGGATTACTTGCAGAGTCGAACATGGGTGCCCGAGGGAGCAACAACCACCAGTGCCCCGTGTGTGAAGCCTCGACATACGCAGACAGCAGAATCAGACACCCGCTGGCGTTGTGACAGGAATTCATTTGACTCCTCGCACACGGCGCTGCCTGGACCACCCCGCTGGCTGCCTGAGCCTCTGGCCTCCGGGCCAGGGCCCTCGGTCTGGCTCTTCTCAGGACTCGCTCTTAGGACTGTTTCTGCACAAAGGCGAACTCAAAACTTGGATCCGTTCGCCCGCTCTTTTCCATGCTGTTTGCGCAACCATCACGTCCGACGTCAAAACTGGATCCCGTAGCATCATGAATGCTAGTCCTGGCCCAGGGCCTAGCATCCTGCGCGTCTGACGTTTGCAACTCCCAAAGGGCTGGGAGCGTAGCGCATCACCTGCAAGTAAGCAACGCATCAGAGATGCTGTCGTTGGCTGATGTGGGAGGCGAGTGTCTGCAGACTTGGACATCCCTTTGACCCTTCGTAGGGCTGAGCGCCCGTTCAGGCCGCCAACTTTATTACCAAAGGTGCCACTGATCAACACCAAGCCCACCCAGGTCCAACTCGCCCCTTTTCAAGCAAGCCACGAGCCCTACAGAACGACATGACACACCTCCGCTGACACGACCCAACGCCTCGTCCCTTGCCGCCAGCAACCAGCGGTCAATCCCATCAAAGTTGGCCCACCCCCTATCGTGTCACGACAACACGTATATGGCCGTGTGCCTGGTCATCGTCATGCAACTTCCCACCCACTGCCGAATCGCGTATTCATCTCGACCACCCAGGCTGTAGGGGGGCTAGTCGCTGAAGCTGGTAGCTCGACACAAGGGCTTTGCACCGCCTCGAGGGTTTGCTAAGAAAAGATACTCGAGTCCCGCAAGAAGAAGAAGAGGACGACCCCCACCCACGCGTGTCATTGATCAATTCGTATACTGACCAATGAGAGGGAGATGATCTGAGCCCAGAGTCAAATGAGCCACAGCTTGGACCACCGGGGCCTTTCGTCTCAAAATGAGAGACCGTGACCAGGATGCACAGGCATCAGACCAGGTGGATCATCCTGGGCCAATCTCATAACTTGCTTTTCGTCTCTATCGTCGAAATTTGCATCGAGACATCGAGGCACGGTCGTTCCCCAATAATCGAATCGTCACGGTAGGCGACCACAAGTCCACCCTTAGCTTGGACGAGGTGCTGCCACAATTCTGACCCTTATTCAACTGTGGGGTACGCTTGAGGAGATCTTGCGAGCAAAGGAAAGGCTTTGTCAGATACGGAAATACAATGAGATTGAGGGGAAAATCGTCCCACATGCAGCAGCCCTTACGGGCCTCACAGGTGGCCAGCCAGCGTTAGTCTAAAGATGCACTTGCGCATTTCAGACGAGGAACCCTCCGTCGGTCACCGCAGTCACAATGATCGAGACCAAGGTGATACCGCTATACCGCCTTTAGACATGTCACGTCCAGTAGGTCTGCGAGAGACAGTCGTCACGACCATGTGGCCGACTGGTCTCGAACCTAGGGCCAGACATATCAACTCCTCAGGCACCGCCCGTCCTGGTCGAGACCGTCAAGTGAATCTCCAACGTTCTTTGGTTCTTGAGGGGCGACAGCGAGACAGGTGGTTTCAGACATTACACTCTCGCCCACCCCAGCCTTGATCACAGCACCAAAAGCAACCATCGAACCTTGGTCCCCACTTATGTCACAGAGCCGGACGATTTCGCCAGCATCATTCACAAGATCGAGACAAGCGAGGATGCTAACTTAAAACCGACTGGGTCAAGCACGGTGCACTTGGGGGTTTGGGTTTGGGTCCAGATGCCTCCACACTGACGGGGTCAACTCTGATAATGGCCGACCACGAGGGCAACCCGCTTTTACCATAAGCACTGGCAGCCGAACCAGAATGACCACCGCTATCGCTAGCCTGCACCGCGGAGAGCGAGGAAGGGATGGCATTCGGACTCCGCGACATGATATTGTGCGAGGCATGATGCGCATGCACAACGATGGCGAGGGCTATGGTGGTGCACTAACCGGCCCTGGCCTGCGTCCTGTTCGGTCTCGTTCATGATACAGCCTGGTTCAAGCAGAGGACCCTGACCTGACGATGTCGGCTTGGCGAGGCGAGGGAGGGCGTTTGCCTACACGCCTGCTTGTGGCTTGCTTCGCAACGGGCGAAGCACAGCACGCAGCACGCTATGCCAGGCACTGGCTGGCAGTGCAGACATAGGGCTTAATCACTCCCGATGCCTCTCCAGACAGCCTCGAGCCTCCAAGTGTCTAATTACAGCGCACGAAGCACTGCAAGATGCACAACCGCAGTGGGGCAGTGCACCGCCAAATTGTGCCGGAGCACTGTCGACTGGTTCATTGGGCCTATAACGAAGTCTCGCAGCACCCACTCACTACACTGTACATGCACCACACGCAGACGACTTGGGGGTGTGAGTGATGGACGCCATTTTAGGGACGGGCACCAAAATAACGCCATGATTAGCCTTGTCAGCCAGTCTTTTACTTCCACTAACGCCGCGAACGTACCGACTACGCTTTCGACAGGATGTCCTACGAGCAGCCGAGCTTGCAGAGCCTCCACAATATTGGCTTTGGCTCTGGCATCGCTCGATGCTTTTCCTCGTTCATCGCAATTCGTAGCAGTACCTCGAAACTTTCTGGCCAGAGGGGTCATTTGCCATTCTAAGATGCGCTAGCAACACCTTGTCTGTTCTCATTGTTGTCGTCCACGCGCGGGTGGCTTTCAGGACGGTGCAGGCACTCCCTCCCTCTCTGGGTGCCGTTGTGAAACGTTTCTGGGGATGAAGAACCGTAAATCAGACTGAGGGCCTCTAAAGGCAAGGCTCGCGAACCGGGATGCGTATACGAAACGGTCCCTGCAGGGCCATTCATATACCGCTATTGTCGAGAGTTGCGAGGTCATGAAAATAAAAAGCAACATGCTGAGCAGGCAAAGGAAACCTGTGCATATTGAGCATTGACGAGGACGAGGCTCCGTCCAGAATGCGACTCTGTGCTCAAACACCTCAAAAACGCATTGGGGGTTGCTTCATGGGACAGGCAGACAGCTAGGTAGCGCGCCCCTCCCTGGTCGAGAACCTGGGCATAGTCAGGTGTGTGCGACGACAACGCGGGAGGGGGGGGGGGTAAAAAGAAACGGAAGGTTGAAAGTAGCTTCCCTAGACGAGAGTGGGTGATGACAGCCGAGACGCGGAAGTAGTGCCGCTGTGAGAAGGAGGAATTTGGGGGCGGTAATGAGACTGTCGCCTACCAGGTTGCATCATGAGCGCTTGAACGGAAAGACGTAGCCATGAGCGGATACCGAAACGGGCCTTGACGGTCAAGAAGGGACGTACCGTACATACGGTAAGACATGACGTCCAAAGCCTGGCCTCGCTTCTCTTCCGGTGCCGCGACAAAAGTCATCTGGCAGCAGGGGTCTGGCCATTCTGAGACAAGAGATACGCCCTGGAAAGTATCGGTACGCCTGCTGTACAGGGCCATGCTCACTTGTCTAGGTGCTGTGCTCTTCCCTCTACGGTGCTGAGTCGGCTTGGAGAAATGCCGTGGGGCCAGACCTCGGAGGCCACCAAGGGGAGCGACAACACCCACGAACGTACCGGGTACGCAGCAGAGGGAACCGACTCGTCCCAATCGTGGACTGCCATGTAGTTGCTTCGATCCCCCCCGACTACCTGCGACGTCTCTCACAGCATCCTACCTCCTGATTTGGCGTGCTGGCCATCTCGTCCGAAGCAGCCATTTACGAACAACACTCGAGGGGTGCGGTCATGAGGACCTGCAGGGCACTGGTTGCTCATCCGTCTGTGGCCCAAAACCGACCTGATAGGGCCTGGAATGGCTCTGTAGGTTGTCTCGCCTGGCTCGTCTCGCCCAGAGTCCTATTCGACAAACGCCCCCCCTTCCTCTGAGGACCCCTCTTACTTCTTGACAGAAGAGGCTAGTGGCTTTTCAGGACACTTGTCGAGCCCAAGGTACCCGTACCTCTTTCGGCGATGGCCAGCCACCATCAGGCTGGCTGCCCCTGATCCCTGTACACCCTCCCCCGACCAACCTGGTCCTGGTCCTGGCATCCCCCCCCCCGGCTGCCCTACGGGACCCCCCCTGGACTCTGTTTCTCGTCAAGGTTGTCCTGTGCCTCGCCGCGCTGTGTTGTGGATGGTCCCTTTGCGATCCGCGTCCGCGTCCACCGGGAACATGGACCACCCACACAACCCATGTGCCCCCCAGTCCGATGTCTCTCTCTCGCACCGCAATGCCCATGGTTCATCACCAGTCTATATCAGTCGCCGAGTCCCCCCCCCTCAAAGCCCCTCACCGTGATGTTTCTCGCCCCCATCAACCATCACTACCCTCACAAGTAACAAGCACATCTCGAACCTCAGAAGGGAAGACTGAACAGTACCCAGCACCAGGCTACCCTCGTTACCAACCTTCGCTGCTCCATCCCATCGTCCGCTCACTCTTCATCATCGCTATATAGCACTTCCCACTCGTCAGCTCAGAACCAGACAAGATAACGACTTGGTCTCACAAGCACGCCTATCGAAACCAGCTTGTCTTCTCCAGCAGCTTCAGAAGAGACTCAGACCGGGCCCTTGGCATGCCTTCGGATCAGGTGAGCTCGTTGCTCTCTCCAAGGCCCCACTGTCAAGCGCGGCCTGCCTGCGAGACACGCAAGACTAATCCACCCATCAGTGACGGCACGAGTAATTTGACACTGCTGAGCACGACCCAGAACCAACCAGCTTCGGCTCGAATATCTCTGCCGACCCAGCAGCACCAGACAGAAGAAACACAGACGTAGAAGCAATGGTCTCTCTACAACACACGTACACCATGATGTCCCGCCAATCCAGCAGCGAGCACGGAGACTTCAACTCCTACCCTGAGCCGCCTCATGGCTTGTTCGCCTCATCACAGATGGACATGAGCATTCCTACCAGCTCGTACATGTTTCCCGCGTCCATGGGATTTGAACAGGCCACAACCTACGCCGACGCGACACAGTACGTGTACAACGGCCAGCAATCACCAGGCGTTTTTGAGGAAGGTGACCTCCAGATGCCACCCTCCAACCACTCCACAGCCTCGGCCTGTTCTTCCAACGCCGGTTCTCCACTCTCCCACCACGGCCAGATTGGCGTGAATCCCGAGTGGACGCAACACGGTCTTGGACTCACACCCAGCATCGTCCCCAGCGACTTCTACAGTGCTGCCGGGACCGAGTACACGTCCTACACCGCACCAGGTATGGAGGACTTCACTTTCGAGTTCCCGAGCACCAAGCCACACGGCTTTGTGGGTGAGTTGCCAGACATCTCTAGGACTCCTGTTCAGCCGCAACCCACTTCTCTGTCTTCTCCTTCTGTTTCCTCTGTTGCTCGCGACACCGAGAGCGAGGCTGCCCTTGCTGTCGACACCAAGATGCCGCCACCACCGCCAACCTCTCCTTTGTCATTTGTCTCTCCCAGCTCTGCTTCCTTCTCGTCCCCTGTCGTCCCAGCCTGGCCGGCCTCGCCGCGAACACCACGCGTGCCCCCTTTTTTCTCTCAAAGTAGCGGTCTCTTCACGGCACCCCTCGAGTGTTCTTGTTGGTTTCTCCTCTGTCCTCCAATGCCTCGATCCTTGCTCCGAGCAGCGCGCTGACCACTGCCCAACCAGACCCATCCCTGATCCACCCAGAGATCAGCCGGCCCGTGGCCATGCCTGGTTACGAGGCCGCTTACCACCACGCCTATCCCGCGTCTCCCTCCGCCTCCTCCTCACCTCAGCCCGCCGCCCGCAACGCCAGCCGGTCTCCCTTCCTCCATGAAGGCTACCAACCGCACTACAGCCCCTACAGTGCGCCTCTGGACGGCCGCAGGCCGAGCATTCACTCGTTCCAGTCTGGGTACTCCGAGGCCGGCAACGCGTACAGCGGCGACGAGACCAAGGAAAAGCAGCGCTGCCCGCATCCCGACTGTGGCAAGACGTTCAAGGATCTCAAGGCGCACATGTTGACGCACCAGAACGAGCGCCCCGAGAAGTGCCCCATCCAGACGTGCGACTACCACGTCAAGGGCTTTGCCCGCAAGTACGACAAGAACCGTCACACCCTCACACACTACAAGGGCAACATGGTCTGCGGCTTCTGCCCCGGCTCCGGCACCCCTGCCGAGAAGTCGTTCAACCGTGCCGATGTGTTCAAGCGCCACCTCACGGCCGTGCACGGCGTCGAGCAGACGCCTCCCAACAGCCGCAAGAAGACATCCGGTGCCAACACGGGCAAGAAGCTGACCGGCTACCCGCCCGACGCCACCGGCAAGTGCTCGACCTGCTCGCAGACCTTCTCGAACGCGCAGGACTTCTACGAGCATCTCGACGACTGCGTGCTGCGCATCGTGCAGCAGGAGGACCCGTCCGAGGCCAACAACGCGCGGCTGCTCGCCGAGGTGGAGAACGACAAGAAGGTGCACCAGACGCTCGAGCGCAACAACCTCCCGACGCAGACCATGTTGACGACAATGCAAGACAACAGCGATGACGAGGAGGATGACTTGGACATGGACGAGGACGACGAGGACGAGGCGTCCAAGGACGAGCTCAGCCTGTCACGCAAGCGCAAGGCGAGCGGCATGATCAGCGGCGCCATCAAGTCCCGCGGCATGACCCACTCGCGCGGTGGCGTGCCAGGGCGCGTCGGCAAGAGCAAGGGCCGTAAGAGCAAGCAGCAGCGCCCCAAGTCGTGGGACCTCAACAAGGACCTCGTCAAGATGAAGAAGCGCGTGCTCGGCGTGTTTGACGGTCCTCGCCGCCTGGCCAAGGACGACATGGTGCTGTCGACGGAGCACGAAGTCCGCATCAAGCTCCAAGACGGCAAGTCGTACGTCACGGACCTTGACATGTTCACCGTCATGCGCGCCGAGGGCTTCCACGGGGCCACGGACGCAGAGAAGGGTGCCTGGGTGTCAGACGACCCGACCCCGGAGCAGTACCAGCAGATGCAGGCCCTGCTCAAGCAGGAGTCGGTTGAAGCGTGAGGGGCTGGCGGAGATGGAGAGGGGCCCCCTTTGGCAGTGCCGAGTGGGCGAGCAGGAGAAGGAGGGTGATGACGCACAAATGTCTAATACACACTACATACGTCTGCTTTCCTTCTTTTCGAACAGGTTTCTTTCGAAAAGGATTGGGCAGGTCCGGGAAAAGGGGACACCACACCAGACGGGGACGCCAGCTGGTGGGGAAAGGGATTTGTTTAGAGGCACGGACAGGCGCTTTTGGGGTACGGGGTTCATGGCTTGACTGATGCCTGATGAGGGTTTTCTGTTTCCACTGGGAAGGGTAACGCGGTCATGACCATGGGAAAAGGACGGGGGGGGTGAAAGGTTCCCCCCCCCGGCCCTCATCTTTTTCCTTCTTCTTCCACTTTTTTAACGGGCTACGAAACGGGAAAGTAGTTGCCGTCGGATTGATACCCTCTGGACCATTTTGTATCCTTCTTTTTTCTTTTTGGCCAATTTCCATTACGCGTTACTTCACTCCTCTTTCTTCAACCAGTGTGTTCCTGGTGCCAATGCGTCGGAGTATACTACATAATTCATAATCAAAATGAGGCGAAGAGAGAGACGCCGTCTTTTGCATACACTTTCTTTCCATGGCTTGGGTGATTTGATAGTCAACAGCTAGGGGGGGAACCACAAAGATGACGACGAGACCGAGTCTCGATCTGGCAAGGCCCCGGGCCCCTCCCCTCGCACCTTGACCTGCTGAACCCTCTAGGGTCCGAAATGGAGAAAGGGCAGGTAGCGTGCGCGCCAGCGACGGCGAAGCTATCGCCAACCCAGTGTTAGCGGGGAGGAGGAGCATCGATAAAGACGGAGGGGGGGGGTGGGATGTTTGAGCAGGTACGGGAAGCTAGGAGGAGGAGCAAGAGGCATGTTTGGCTGAAGGCGGACGTGAGGATCGTCATCTTGCAACGGTGCGGAAATGTGGAGTGTGATCTGCACATCGGTTCATGACCCCGTTTCTTTTATTTTCCTTTTCCTCTGTCTCCCTCCCTCTCTCTCTCTCTCTCTGTCTGCGTGTGTGTGTGTGCGTGCGTATGGGCTGGTGGGGGGGAGGAGTCCCGGCACTGAAGAAATGGCTGACTGGCGTTTTGTGGTTCTTGGGTGGCTCGTTGGGTCCAACGTCGTCGTGGCCCTCTCTACTTGCCTAGGTAAGTACCTAGGCACCTACTTTACTGCAGCGTACCTGGGCAGGGGGATACAGAGGAATGGAGCCAAGAGGTGTGGGGTTCGCCGGGATGGTTGGTTTAGCCAAGTGTGTCGATTCTGCCTCGTTGTGTCAGAGTCAGCAGTGGAGACTCTCTCCCTCTGCCTCCTCCTTCTCTTCGGGCTATTTTTCTGACATGCTCTTATCGTTTAGTCTCTTCGTTTGCTGTCGATGAATATTTGCTTGGGAATTGGTAGGTTGGCGGCATTCGGAGACGTGGGTAGGGGTAGGGGTAGGGGCAGGGGTAAGGAGAAGAAGGGGAGT